ACTATCAAAGAGATTTGTCCCTATGCAAAGATCAGTGGTGGTATCTCCAACTTGTCTTTTGGATTCCGTGGTGTAACAAAGATCCGCGAGTCTATTCATGCTGTCTTTTTGCATCACGCCATTCTTGAATCTGGTATGGATGTTGGTATTGTCAATGCGCATGAGATGCTCATGTACAGGGAGGTAGATTCTGATATTCGGGAGTGTGCCGAAAACCTGATCATGAATCTTGACGATAATGCTACTGAGAAAATGCTCGATCTTACGAAGAGGGAGAAAGAGGCCATTGAACTTCGAAAGAAGGGAGGGGGTCCCAAAGTTGTGAAAAAGTCGTGGAGGACAGAAGCTCCGAAGAAGCGCTTAGAACATTCCTTGATCCATGGTATTTCTGAGTTCGTCGATGGAGATGTTGAAGAAGCAAGACAAGAATGCAGTAAACCTTTGGAAGTCATTGAAGGTCCACTGATGGATGGAATGAATGTCGTAGGTGATTTATTCGGAGCTGGGAAGATGTTTCTTCCTCAAGTTATCAAATCCGCACGTGTCATGAAGAAAGCCGTGGCGTATTTGCTTCCATTCATGGACGAAGAAAAGAGACAGAATTTGATCGCGAAAGGACTCGATCCTGACGAAGTCGACGAAAATGATGATTCAAACTTTGCAGGAAAAGTTCTGATGGCGACGGTGAAAGGTGATGTCCACGATATTGGAAAGAACATCGTTGCGGTGGTGCTAGGCTGCAACAATTACAAAGTTTATGATATTGGTGTGATGTGTTCTTGTGAGCTTATCCTGGAAAAAGCAAAAGAATACAATGTCGACGTTATTGGTCTTTCTGGTCTAATTACTCCATCATTGGACGAGATGGTTACTGTCGCCAAAGAACTGTTCAAGGGCGGTTTCAAACAGCCACTTATGATTGGTGGAGCTACTACATCGAAGATGCACACGGCAGTGAAGATCGCACCAAACTTCTTTTCCAGCGACCATCCTGTTATTCACGTCCTTGATGCATCTCGTTCAGTCACGGTTGTCTCTTCTTTGCTGGGCAAGAACAAGGCTGAATTTGTTGAAGATTTAGAAGAGGAATATGACGAAATGAGAGAGGATTACTATGCTGGACTCGAGGACCGCAATTTTTTGACTTTTGATGAGGCGAAGGCCGAGAAGAAGGTGATTGATTTCGATGCTGTTCCCCCCGCTCCTACCCCAAATAAGCTCGGTATTACTGTCATTGATTCTGTGAACCTCGCAGATGTTGTTCCTTACATCGATTGGGTACGTATAAATACATGTAGCATAGTTCAAATTTGTATGTTTTTGCCATTGATTCTCACGCATCCGATTATATATTTCGCTTGTCTTTCATAGAATCCTTTTTTCCAAACTTGGGAGTTGCGTGGTCGTTATCCCAACCGTGGGTATCCAAAGATTTTCAATGACAAGGCTGTCGGTGAAGAGGCGAAGAAACTTTTTGACGACGCTCAAGACATGATGAAGCAGATTATTGAAGATGGAAGCATGTGGTTGAAGGGAGTCACGGGTCTTTTTCCAGCCAACAGAAGCGAATGTGGAGAAGACGTAGACGTCTTTGAAAGTGAAGAAGATCGAGCGGCGGGAAAGATCGCTGCCAAATTCTGCATGTTGAGACAACAAGCCGAAAAGGAATCAGATGATCCGTACTTGTCCCAGGCCGATTTCATCGCACCAAAGGGTTACAGCGATCACATTGGTTTCTTCGCTGTTTCTTGCTTCGGTTGTGATGCTCTTGTTACCAAATACGAGTCCGAGAACGACGATTATTCGAAGATTATGGCCCAGGCGCTTGCGGATCGTTTTGTAGAAGCCTTTGCCGAGTTCCTGCATCGTGAAATCCGTATTGATCTGTGGGGTTATGCCAAGGACGAACAACTGGATGAAAGCGACTTGCTGAAGGTAAAATACGACGGAATCCGTCCCGCCCCTGGATATCCTTCGCAGCCCGATCACACCGAAAAATCGACCATGTGGGACATTGTCAAGGTGAAGGATAGCGCTGGCATTGAGCTAAGTGATTCCTTGAGTATGATGCCGGCGTCTTCTGTCTCGGCATTAGTCTTTGCCCATCCCCAGTCTGAATACTTTGCTGTTGGGCAGATTGGAAAGGACCAAGTCACAAGCTACGCAGAACGCAAAAAGATGGATCTTGAGCTCTGTGAACGTTGGTTGTCTCCCATCCTCAACTACGATCGTGACTAAGTCTATTTTTCCTAGATTTGATTGGATCACAACAACTAAAATACATCGATTATCGTGCATTTCGATGAGTAAGAAAGTAAGCTAATTATTTGAATGTCAAACACAATATCAAGAAAACCACATTGTTTTCAAGTTTTCGTGACGTGAAGATTTGTCACCTCCGCGCAATTTTAGGGTGCGTGAAGGAGCCAACGGAAGATCAGTTCGAATTTGAGGTTGAAGAGGATTATCGATCGATCATTTTTGGTTATTATGTGTGGTTAGAGCGTTATCTATTCCCCGCAGGGTGGACCGTAGAATAAATCCATATGCTTCGATGGTTCCTTGTTCGTTTCGGTCTCGAATATATCTCTGGTGGAAACGGTCACTCTGTTTTCCAAACGATGCAAGTTGCCTTCGGTAGAACCATACTTTCTCTGTTGAACGAGAGTTCCATAAAGGTAGCGTAGATGTGCAATAATCTCTTTTCGTTGTGCCGTTGCTTCTTGTAGACGCCCAATACTGTGGTAGATGTTTTCCTTTTCGCTCAAGAGTTGCGGTCTATTTTGTTCCTTCGAGGCCTTATCGATTTCGGGAAGGATGATCGCTTCGATCGATCGCAACGAAAGGCACCGCTTGGTCTCATTTTGGAGCCTCCCTTCCAAAAGGGCCGCGAGCTCGAAATTTAGAGGGTCCATTTCACCAGAGTACTTTTCTGAGGTCTCTTGTTTGATTCGGTCCAGCTGAGTATCCGTCCGTGTGGCATCGTATCGCACACCATTGTATCATAGATTGATGTTGATATTTCAGGTAAAAATGTTGCGGGTGAGTGGTTCGACCAGGATCTAGCGATTGGCAACTGATAAGAGCCTAGCAGAGAAATATTCTTTATAGTTGCGTTGGATTCTAGCTTCATTTTCTGAACACTTACCAAATTTGAGTGATTGGTGCAATCATGGATGGCGCGGAACTCGTTTTTCGTTAGTTGGAGGATACGAGCCTCTTGTTCCTTGAGGATTCCCAGCTTTTCCATTCCCTGTCCGAGTCGTTCCTTGGCTTGGCGCCCTAATTCAATGAGATGATCGTGCTCCATATTAACACTTTGATGTTCCTTTTGGATTTGTTGGAGCTCTTTCTTTGCCAAATTGTTCTCGCTCACGAAGGCTTCTTTTTGATTAGAGAGTGCTGTGAACTGATTCTGGATTGAATTGCTCTGAATGAGGTTGTTGCTGCCACTTGAAATATTACTGGTATTGACAAGACCGTTCGGATTCTGCTGAATTTGTAGCTGCTGTCGGTGATGCTTGTTCTGGTTACAACTGAAATCGTTTGGTTGTCGAGCTCGAAGACTGGTCAACGATCGTGGTATGTGATTCTGAGACAAGGACTTCATTGTGAAAATTATACAGTAGACGTAAAATAGTAATTGGAATGGGTGTGAGGGGATGATGAAGAAAGCAATGCTAGGTGCGAGGGCAACATCCAGAATGGGAGTAGAATGACGACGAGTGTGCCAAGTAACTGAATATGTTTTCAAATTGAAAGAAGTACTGTAACCATGCCAATACAGAGCCAGAAGAAGTGAGAAGGTGAAAACGACGACTACGAGCACTCGTGGCGCATTTTATGGAAGTGTGACTGATCAAAAAATGACACTCGCGGAAGATTTCACCCACGAGTTTCATACCAGCCAAATGCCAAATCGGATTTTTCTCCCTTCGTTTTGATCAGACTGCGGTACGTGCGTACAGCTCGTACTCCTACTACCACCACAAACGATTTTTGCCGATGCCGCAATCACTGAGGACCATAACTTCATCGACAAAATAATTCATCGCGAACCTGTAACGGCAATAATGTGAAATGACATGGTACTACGCGTTGCGCACCAATTGAAATTAGTTTCACAGGGCATTCCGCATGTTAGAATCAAGGTTCCCAATGTTGACTTGACGATAAGGTTTGGAATGTTAGTATATCACTGTAGGCCTACGTAGAACAGATCCTACTATTATCCTCGTTCTTCATTTGGTAGCCACTAGCAGTATCCAAAAACAAATAATTTTGGTCTTGTTTCCAAAAAAGAGGATGCCAACCCTGCAAACATTCAGAATGTTAACTCAATCCAAAACTGCAGTAGTCATTTCTACACAGGCCAACGGTGCTAACATTCAGAATGCCCTGTGAAATGTAATTTCAATTGGTGCGGAACGCGTAGTATGGGAAGCCTAATGATCTGTTGACGTGAAAAAGGAACATTCTCTCAGACTACAAATTGTTTCCCGATTTTTCCTTTTGGTCTAGAAGGTTAAAAATCTTCAAAAAGAAAAGGGGTTCTCGTACTAGATCACTATTCATTCCGTGCCTGTTATGGGGTAAAAGCGAATTTCATGAGTCTACTTAACGCTGCAGTATTCATCGTTTGTTGCTTACTTCTCCCGTAAATGATTGAAAATATTTTGGTAGTCACGCAGTACAAATGAATGAAAGATCTCTTCAAATCTAGATCATCCAGCGACTAGTTAGAAGGGGAAAGATAGCTGCACAATAAACTGATCATAACTGCGATGTTGGGAATCTGAGCAGTGTTTCTGCGAGCCTTTGATACTCGTCGATTTCATTGTAGATATGGCATGAAATGCGCACGTATAGAACCCCCTCAACGCATTTGATGGGTACTTCAATCAACTTTTTGTATAAAAAGTCTTGCACAGCCTTTGCGTCGCCAGATGTCGATGAAGAAGACTGCATGCGATCTGGCAATCGCACCAACGCCATCATGGGCGAATGAAGTGCAAATGGGACCAGCAACGATCGTTCCCAATCTTCATCGGGGTGCCAAGTTCTACTTAGTAGTTTGACTGCTTGCTGAAGCCGATTATTGATCTCGGTTTGAAATGGCACGCCGTTTAAACTATCCTTTGCTTTATTTTGTTTTTGCTCCCAAAAATCCAAGACAGCAGGAACCGACAAAGCTGCGGTGTAATCGCGGCATCCATCCCATAAGAATCTGCTCTGAAATCCTTGCCCAATGCCGTGAGATATAACGGCAGGAAGTCTCAGAATCGAGTGTCTTAAACTAGCATCAGGGCAATATAGAAAGCCTATCCCACGCGGACAAGAGAGCCATTTGTGCCCATTTCCCAGATAAAAGTCAACATCCGGCAATTCCGTTTCATTGAGATGGAGATCTTGGGCTAATATTCCATGGGCTCCATCGACCATCACCAGCATATTCATTTCTTTAGCTGCCCTGGAAAGCTTCTCAAGCGGCATATTGAGGGCAGTGTTGGATGTCGTATGATCTAAAATCAGAAGTGCATTCTCGGTTTGTTTGTTGTTGTTTTCGGTTTTGATTTTCTCTACGCTATCACACAGTGCTTCCTCGAACACATCCGATGGATCGTTCAACGAGTCGTCCCAGCACCGATCGAAATAATTACTGACGGGTATCTCGGTGACTCTTTCTGGGCAATACTCATGTGCCATCTTTTTCAGACTGCCATATGATGTATCCCATAAAATGACATGGCTTTTCTCTTTATGAATATCACTGTAACCACGAAGGATTGTATTCAGACCATACGTGACATTGGGTATAAGAGTGAAGTGGTCCCGAGATGCATGGCAAAAGTTTGCTAGACGCCGAGCTGAATATACCAAGTGGGGAAGTAAATCCCTGTCAAAGTAGCGCAGTGGTTGTCGTTCTAAATGAAACCTGGTGATTCGTTGCAATATAATCAACGAGAAAAGTCAGATCAAGTGAAACTTTTGACATCGATGAGCGCAAAGACATTGGTGTCTTATCATCAAGACGCCTATATATCCTTCGTTCGGAATGAATTCTATTTGATATATCGTCCCGAATGAAAGTTGAAGAAACACACCTCCACTGTTCTGCCCGATCGTATCCTACTCTTAGCGATGCACCAAAAGCACCATGATTTAGAAACGTCCATTTTTTGCGGTCTAATAGAAAATCAGATTTATCTGGTTCAAGCTTCTGATCGAATGGCAGTTTTGGAATCTCATAAACATTTGATGATTGTGACATCAGCACATCGACATCTTCGGTGTGAAATGACCCAATGGACTTATATCCCAGAAGCCTTTTAAGATGGCTCATCCTCTCTCGTCGATATAATTCTTTCGGAATCTTCATCGTTGATATCATCGCTCTCCTCGTTTTGGTTTGCTTCAGAAGAGAATCCTCCAAATCGAATAAGGTGTACCAACTCTGATTGTTTGAAATATGGATGGAATAGTTTATCTAAAAAAAAAGATTCGTTTTCACCGATTACATTGGGGGTTGGGGGTACTCGTTACTCGTAGTATCATACTGATAGTATGTACGTTCTTAGGTTATAGTATATGCATCTGTACTTTTGTACTAGTAAAAAATTGGTTAGTGGTAACTGAACTGGTGCTGTAAAAAAATGTAACTGACACGCACAGTACTACGGTACGTGACTAGTAGTGGCGGGTTCGCACGTACAGTAACTTCGTACCAGGGATCGTTATTCTCCCCGAGATCGGTGATTAGATATCCACGTGGAAGTAACAGATTTGAGAATCACTGAGATTTGACGTGTCTAATCTAAACGCAAGACAAAACTTCCGGTACCGTACGTATCGGAGTGTGACCGATAGTACTAATAGTATTACTTCTTCTACATACGTACGTAGGTACCGCTTACCATACCGTACACTGGAACTTTCTTCGCAATATTTTTAGGTTTGATTGCATTGTATTGTATTTTCAACAAACAGTTCGAGTGCAAGTACGATACAGTACTGAATAGTACAAGCAGTACGGTAGGGCGGTACAAGGAGCTCGAAACAAGATTTTTTAATTGTATTCGTCAATGTAAAGAAGTTAAGCATATCACCAAAATAATACCGGTAACATAAACATTGATTTCAAACTGCAAGCATGTTCAGCGTCAGCCGATCCACTATCAGTGCCGTTGTGAAAGGACAAAGTGCCATATCGAAGAGATTTGCATCCTCTCTCGGTAGTTCTGTATCTACATTAAAAGGAGAGCATTTTGTTTCGATCGATCAACTTAGGTGAGGACGCGATAGGCGATTCTGCATTTTGTCGTAAATCGAATCCCTCCGCTTTGTCTAACTATACCTGTACTGTGTGAACTTATGCGATTCACTTGGTTTTTGCAGCAACGATGAACTGAAGGGTTTGTTGGATGTGTCTCATCATTATAAGGAAGTCTATTCCGACAAGTCGAAGTCGCTCCCCAAACCTTTGGATGGACATTCGCTCAGCATGATATTTCAAAAACGATCTACCCGAACCCGTGTTTCGACAGAAACAGGAATGGCAATGCTTGGCGGACATGCTTTATTTTTGGGACCCTCTGATATTCAACTAGGAGTAAACGAGTCCATGAGAGATACAGCATCTGTCTTGAGTCGATTCAATGACTTGATCTTGGCTCGAGTTTATGCTCACGACGATATCACGGAACTTGCGAAATATTCCGATGTTCCCATTATCAATGCCCTGAGTGACTTGCATCACCCTCTTCAAACTCTTGCAGATTTGATGGCGCTCCAACAACATTTCGGGAAAGACTTGTCGGGGAAAACAGTTGCCTGGGTTGGTGATGGAAATAACGTGCTCCATGATCTCATGCTGGGGTCTCTCAAAATGGGAATGAATGTACAAATTGCGACACCGACAGGATACGAACCTGATGCTGACATTATGGCGAAGAGTAAGGTATTGGCAGAAGAGAATGGTGCTAGCCTCACAACAACAACTGTAGCAGACGAAGCTGTCAATGGAGCTGATGTGGTGGTCACAGATACGTGGGTTAGCATGGGACAGGAGGATGAATATGAAAAACGTGTAAAGGAATTCGACGGGTACCAAGTGAACACAGAACTAATGGGCAAGGCCAACGACGGCGCCGTATTTTTGCACTGCCTCCCTCGTCATGTTGAGGAAGTGACTGATGAAGTCATCTACAGTGATGCCTCTCTTGTCTTTCCTGAAGCCGAGAATCGTATGTGGACAGTGATGGCAGTAATGGCAGCACAACTAGGAAAAGTAGAATAGGGATGAAAAGATATTTCAGCTTATTAGCAAAGTTTCTTCAACGATACATTAAACATGTCGAAGGATACCAAATATTTTCATCACAACGTTGGGATTGATTAGCAAAAAATTGCATCGGTAGTACAGGTTCTACAATTCGTTATCGTGAACACTATTTAGATTCGGGGATGCAATTTGCATAGGAAAAGAATTGAATAGTGCCAAAGGCAGTATGAGTGGTTTACACCGACTAACCTGTCAAGGATGTTGTCTGACTGGAGGCAGCCACTGCTGTAGTAGCACCTTAAGAGTAGAAAATGAAGAACAAATTCTGCTGACATTCAATTTGAGACATGAAATAGATATGAGTAGCACTAGAATTGAAAAACACATTAATGCTGCCCATTTACTACCAGCACCAGCATCTTTTTTCTTCTAACAGTCATGCAAGGAAAAGTACTACTAGCAGTATAATGATTGATCAGAAAGGGCTTTACTAGACAATTACTGAATCATCAATGTTGAGAGAAGATACTACTAGTACTACTAGTACTACTACTATTACTACTACTACTACTACTACTACTACTACTACTACTACTAGTTGTTAGTAGTAAGTGACGAAGAATGATGCAATAGGTACACAGAAGCAACTTCTTGGTATTAATATGTGGTGCACTAGCTAGTAATAGGTGTCATCGTGGATTTTGGTAATACTTCTAGTATGATTGGTGCTGCTGCTAGTCAGACATGACTACAACTACAACTTATGCGCATATTGCACATGTGAAAGTGCTGTCTATCTAATAGTAGTGATGTAAATCTAAGTGCTAGAAGAAAAGTGAGTTTATGCTCTTATCAAGGATCAACAAGCTATGAAATCTAAGATCAATCAGAATGAAGATCGAGTGATGTGTGAATCAAATGAGTCAAGTCAGTCACACAAGTGAATTAAACGAGTCTAGTCAGTCGTGTGGATCCATAGGATTGAATGAGTCATGAATGTAGAGTGTGTATGAATCATATATATGTATCATATGTATTTGTTGTAGATATGAATCATACCCACAATCTGATATCCTATGGACAGCATGCTGTCCATAGGATATCAATATGGTTTAGTGCTGGTGGTACTGCCATTGTACAATAATGAAAAAAGGGTAACCATGTAGTAGCATGATTTATCTTCCCATGCTATGTAACCATTTTTCTACTAGTAACTACTAGTAGTACTAGCATGTTGTTGTCTGACTACAACTTGTTCTTATACTACTACTACTACTACTACTACTACTACTACTACTACTACTACTACTACTACTACTACTACTACTACTACTATTTTATTTTCTGACCATACTCTCTGACCATGTGATCCACAATTTTGTATCAGGAACAAGTCAGAACAAAAACTAAGAATTTTGTCATTTCAATTACAAAACACCACAAGAAGAATATCAGGCACCATGGAATTTCTATTCAATTTACTAGTCATTATTGTAGTAAGTGTGCTTCCCTCAGACATTTTGGGCACCTGGGCACCCAACAACAGGGAAAAACTTCAGCTATAGGAGGAGGAACAAGAGTACAGAATCCTCCATTTTTCTCATAGTTTATTTACCTCTGTTCAACATGGTGAGTTTTTTTTTAAGACTTGCTAACTCTTACTTAGTAGAAGTACAAGTACTACTACTAGTATTCCTCCTATTTCTTCTTCCCACTCAGAATGCTACTCTGAGATTCCACATCAGTGACACAAGAAGGGAGAACAGGCAAATCTGTTCCACAGATGGTTCTCTGTTTGGGGGGGCATTTCAAATTGATTAAGTGGGAATGTTGGAAAGTAAAGTTAATTAGTCAAGATAATCGACTATACTATTAAACAAGTTAATCAACTTTTTTAATCAAGTTTATTAATCTTCTACTACTTGTACACTACTAGTACTAGTAGAAGCTACTGAGCAGCAGGAACAACAAGCAGCAACTCCAGCAGTCCTTGAACAGGAAGGTACTATGTACTGCTCACAATAGTGCTACTAGTAGTACTACTAAGAACAAGCAACCACAGCAACAACAACAAAAAGCAATGACCATCACAATGATAGATGAAACTAGGCCAGCTACTGTTGTACACACTGTAAGAGAAATAATCCAACGGCTGCCGCATCTTGTCTGGGAAACTGACAAAGCCAGTTGTATTGCCAGCCTATTGGGTGCATTAAATGTATTTATTGCTGATATTGGGAGGAATCATATTGTTGAATCAATGACAGCAAAGGGGGGGGGGGGGGGGGGTGTCTCCTGGAGCTGCACAAAAACATCTGCTGTGGGGTTTGTTACTAGTCCTCAAGGTAAATGGTACATCCAAAGAAGTTCACTGCGCAATTGTTGGATGGCCCCATAGTGATACCTTTAGAAAGTGGTAATGGTATGTTGCAAGAAAGATCTTTGAGCTCCAAGAGGAAGTTATTGTACGGTATGGGAGAACAGATTTCTTCCTGTCCATAGGACGTCATAGTGTGGGTATGATTCATATCTATGATATACACATATGACACATATTGATTCACACACATCACTCCGTTCTCACTTCAATTGATTTTAGATTTCATATTTTGTCAATCCTTGATAAGAGAATTGACTCACTTTTCTTCCAGCACTTGATTTACATCACTATTAGATAGTCACTCCCGCATTTCTTGGACAACCTCAATCTGCAACCAGAGAATATTGCCAGCAGCAAAATGTATGGAATCAGTGGACTGGTTGGACTGCCCACCATGCTATGAACCACATCCTTTCTTCACTGACATGTATTCAGAAAAGTTCAATGGGCCGTACGGTATGAAGTTGCAATTTGCATTGAAGCAGTTCATATTGTGTGGATCAATGGTCCTTTCCCTGCTGGCACTTCCGAAGAAAAAACCATCTTTGATAACTATCTTTTGAATCATCTGGAGGAATGGGAGTGGTGTGTCAAAGCTGATAACTGCTGCTTGAGAGGAACAAAAAAGGTAAAGACTCCTGGGCAAGGGACAGACAAGAATGAAAGGAAACAAAAGTCTATTATACAGGGCCAGCATGAAAAAATATAAGGGAGACTGAAGATCTTTAATCTACTGAATGTTTCCTACCATCACACCAAAGGGAGGGACAGGAGGGATACAAGAATGATTGGAAAGCATGGGATGAGCTTTGGAGCTGTTGCAGTTCTTGCTCACCAACTGAAGCTTGAGCTTGAAGGGGTCTAGATTACTTTGTGTAATCCATATGTATTCTGATCCGTATTATGGAAAACTCTCCTCAAGGGAAAAATTATGTGCAGTCTCACATATTTTTTCCCGTAAGGAGAGATTTGAAATTGTGTGCAGTCTCTCACATATTTTTTCCGTAAGGAGAGTTTTCCAGAATACGGATCAGAATACGTACGGATTACACACATACGGTACGACGAGAGTAGCTCGCCGATTGTTTCGGTACAAACTCGACCGTTACTACTGGTATTATTTTTTGTTTCAATTCAGGATCTCGCAAAAACTTTTTTCGTACCGGTACGGCACAGGACTGCCCCGCCGCCGCCTCACCGCATGCGCAGGGACGTTTTTGTTTACAGGTAGTGCCAGTACGTACTGGTAATTTTGTTTACAGGTACTAGTACATACTGGTAATACGTAGAGAATTACTATGAAGAGAAATTATGAATCATGATTTTTGGATGAACAGAAAAGAAAACATCAAAATGGGTACGAGTACTGATATATCGAAAACAAACAACATTACTTAAAATCGAAAGAGTAATAGAACATGTCGAGACACGTATCAAAGGTGATCTCCCACATCAGAAGAGGGGTGAGGATTCCGAGGATGAAGACGGCAGTTTCATCCTCGAGTGTTCCGTCCTGTCTAAGTTTATTCAACAAGACTTCGTGTCGGAACTTCTCGTATTCTTCTTCCTCTTCTGCCCAAGAAGCTGATGAATATGATTTCCATGAAACAGGCGATAATATTACTGAGAACAATTGTTTTGGTCAAAGTAAGACGACGAGTATCGAAACGAAATCCGCCGCCGTTTCTTGGGTCGATGACAACATTAAGCACCAACGAATTTGGCGCCCAGACAATAAATCAGCCGCAGATCCCTTGTATTGGTCAGAAAATGTCGTCCAGAGCTCACACGACAACCCACATAATTTGGTCTCACTCCTCGATCGAATAGAAAAGCAAGAGCTGTCTGGCGGAAGAATGCGCGCAAAGCAAAACGGAGTATTGCATGAGGACCCCGCTGTCGATATGCGTTTACTGATCGAAAATTATACTGTTAATTCATTGGCTAGTGCACTAAGAGATAGAGAGGAGATGTTGCAAACAGCCTCTCAGATGGCGTCAAAAAATGATTTTGAGTCGTTGAAAGATTTTCTTTACAATTGCCATCCTGATGTAGTATTGGAAAAAAGGCAGAGATTGCGAAAATTGAATCTCAAGAAGCCGTTGAATCTTGCTTCGTTGGAGATAATACGCAAGGGACTTATGCGGATGCCAAGGCAAGTTACAATGGCTCACTCCAAGAGAGCCGGTGTAGTCATTCCAATAGTCCACGTTGACGGAGTTCCATCAATTTTGTTCGAAAAACGCAGCCCCTCGCTTCGAGCTCATCCCGACGAAGTTTGTTTACCAGGTGGAATGGTGTGCGAGACAGCTGATCGAACAATTGTCGAAACATGTTTAAGAGAAATGAAGGAAGAAATTGGAGGTTTCGACTTTGAGTATCACCGTGATAAGGGTGGGACGCATGGGGTGAGCGTTCTTGGCACATTGCGTTGTAATTGGGGAGAAGGTAAGCCATGGTGTTCGTTGTATTTTTTTTCTTTGATATAGAAGACAATCCTAATTGTAGTTCAAATCGATTACCTACCATCAGTTCACCACCTGGTAGGAGTTGCTGTCACACCGGTTGTTTGTTCGTTCAATCAAGACCTTGCCGAAGTTGATCTGATGCCAAATCGAGACGAAGTAGCGGAGGTCTTTACAATTCCATTGGTAAATTTAATGGATAAAACGCAATGGGTATACAAAGATGACCATGCACCGATTTTTGTTGGTGGTCCCTATGCAATTTGGGGATTAACCGGCTATATTCTCGAGAGATTTTGGAAAGACATTTTGTTACCATTTAGCTCACGCCCTTCTGACTTGGACTAGTCGATAGAAAGTTATAAAACACAATTTTTGAATATGTTCTATGATATTTCACGGGCGCTTTCTAAACTATATATTGACCATCTGTTACGGGGATCTTGTATCTATTCTTCTGTGACATCCAAAAGCAAGTCTCCGCCAGCAACCTCGTCACCCGCTGTAACAACAACACGATCGACAACTCCATTGACCGGAGATGCTACCATAGTTTCCATCTTCATTGCCGAGAGTGACACCAGGGGGGATCCAACACTAACCTTATCACCCTTCTTCACCTTCGTCTCAAGGACAACTCCAGGCATCGGAGCACCAATACTTCCTTCAACGCTCTGCAATGCCTTTGGTCGCTCACTAGAGGTTTCACCACCGGCCGATTTGTCCTTGACGGACACTGTACGAGGAGTTCCATTCAGTTCGAACTGAAGGGTAACAAATCCCTCTTGATTGGGCTCGGATTGGGCCACAAGTCGAATCATCAATTGTTTACCAGGTTCAAGACTGATTTCTAGATCCTCTCCAACTTGCATACCAGTTAAGAATGTCCTAGTGTTGAGGATGCTGCATTTACCATACTTCTCTTTGTGAGCCATAAATTCATCAAAGACGGCAGGGTAGAGGGCGGAAGAGAGAACATCAACGTCACGAATCTTTTGACCAGATTTAACATCACCACTAAGACCACCAGTATCTTCACCCCATATTTCTTCTAGTTTATTTCGCTCTTTTTCAAAATCAAATGAAGCGAGTTCAGCACCTGGGCGTCCTTCAAAACAAACCAGACCGTCGGTTCCCTCAATTGTTTGTCCTTTTAATACCTTAGAACGAAAGGGTTCCGGAAAACCGAATGGGGGAATGCCGAGGAAGCCCTGGAAGTATTCAATGACACTTTTTGGGAAAGACAAAGTGTCTGCTTTTTCAACGACCTCTTCCTTAGTTAGGTCATTGGCAACGATAAACTGAGCAAGATCTCCTGTTACCTTACTGGAAGGGGTAACTTTTATGATATCACCTAACAATTCATTAGCAGTAGCATACGCTTTTTTGACTTTACTCCACTGTCCAGTCAATCCCAATTGAGAACTTTGGAATAAAAGATTCGTATACTACAATGCCAACGAAGAAGCAAAGAAGAGATAAGGAACCAAGCGAAACAAAACTGATCCCTATGAGAGATCAGTTGATCTCATACAAGTGCGTTCTCACCTGACCACCTGGCATTTCATGATAATAAACATCAGAAGAACCCGTTTTCTGACCTGATTCAAAGGGGGCATACAAACCACGGCATTCTTCCCAGTATTCATTCAGAGATTGCACATCTGATAGTTTCAACCCAGTATCATGTGGCGTCCCACTCGTGCTTGCAATGAGAGCACCCATGGATGGCTGGGAAGTTGTCCCGGACATGGCATCGGAGCAAGCATCAACAACATCAGCACCAGCTTTGGCACAGGAAAGCATGGATGCAACTCCTGTTCCTGCGGTGTCGTGAGTGTGAACATGAATTGGTAGGTCTGGGTGCTGGGCTCGGATCGCAGTGATGAGTTCAGTAGCAGCTTTTGGTTTTAATAGCCCTGCCATATCTTTGATAGCAAGAACGTGGATACCAAGATCATTAAGCTGCTCAACAAAGTCTAAGTAATACTCCAATGTATACATTCCACGATTTGGGTCCGAAATATCACCTGTGTAGCATACTGCTGCTTCAATGATACCCCCAGCTTCACCTACACAGTCGATTCCAAGCTTCATATTTTCGATGTAATTGATCGAATCGAAGATTCTAAAAACATCCATTCCTGTCTCTTTCGCCAATTTACAGAATTGGTAGTTGACGTTATCAGGGTATGAAGTGTAGCCAACGGCATTTGCACCTCTCAGAAGCATCTGGAATGGGATGTTTGGAACCTTTTCACGTAGGTCGGCAAGGCGGTCCCAGGGACATTCACGTAGAAATCTCATTGCAACGTCGAAGGTTGCTCCGCCCCAGCATTCCAGTGAGTAGCAGTTTGCAAGAGCTGCACTTGTAGCCGGAGCGATATTGAGCATATCAACAGTGCGTAAGCGAGTTGCAAGCAAAGACTGGTGAGCATCACGCCATGTTGTGTCCGTAACGAGCAACCCATTGTTATTTCTAACAGCAGAAGCGAACGCTTCTGGACCTTCCTCATCAAAAATTTGCTTCAAAGATTTCTTTCCACAAGTCTCTGCTACAGGAATCTCAGGAATGTAAGGATCGACCGAGACCGGCGGATCACCAACAGCACCAAGTGCACTTGGGGTTCCATTTACAATAATGTTTGCGATGAATTTGAGTACTTTTTGGGCACGGTCACGTTCGTGAAGAGGAGCCAACAAGTCAGGGTTTTGAGCGATGAAGCCAGTATCGACGACACCATCCAAAAATTGTTCGTTTTCAAGAACATTGAGTACAAATGATTTATTTGTCTTCACCCCTCGAACACGAAATTCATTCAGTGCTCTGATTAACTTGGCAGCAGCCTCTCGTCGTGTACGCGCCTTGGCGGTGATTTTTACCAAAAGAGAATCGTAGTGCGGAGTGATTTTTGCTCCAGGAAAACCCGGTCCATCATCAAGACGAATCCCCATTCCTGTCGGTAGTCGAAACACACTAATGGTACCGGTATCAGGACGGAAATCCTGGGATGGATCTTCAGTTGTAACACGACACTGCAAGGCAAATCCGTTCGGTTCTGGAATTTTGTCTTGTGTCAATCCTAACTCTGGCAAAGTCTTTCCGCTAGCGATAAGAATCTGAGATTGAACGATGTCGATACCAGTAACTTCTTCTGTCACGGTGTGTTCTACTTGCACACGAGGGTTGACTTCCATGAAGTAATGTTGTCCGTGTTTGTCAACAAGAAACTCAACCGTGCCAGCATTTAAGTAATTGTCACTCTTCAACAATGCAACAGCGTCATTTAGAATATTTTCCCTGGTCTTCTTTGGTAGATCCTGGGCTGGGGCGCACTCAACAACCTTTTGGTGTCGACGCTGAACGGAGCAATCTCGATCCCAAAGATGGACTACATTTCCCGTCCCATCTCCCAAGCATTGCACTTCGATGTGTCTAGGGTTTTCGACATATTTTTCAATGAAACACCTACCATCGCCAAATGCAGTGAGCGCTTCATTACTAGCTTGGGTAAACATTGCCTCCAGATCTGCTTCGGTCGGTACAATTCGAATGCCTCGACCTCCTCCACCCATGAGAGCTTTCGCAATCACAGGATACGAACACTTGTTCACAGGATCAGCAATCCAATCTCGCGCTTGTCGCACAGTTTCGAAAGCTTCTTCTGATCCTGCCACGACCGATACATCGGCAGCAATGGCTAAGTTTCTAGCGGTAGCTTTATTCCCGAAATGATCCAGATTCTCGACAGTTGGACCAACAAAGGCCACCCCATTTTCCCGAAGCGCCCTGGCAAAATTTGTGTTCTCGCTCAAGAAGCCGTAGCCAGGATGAACTGCTTCGACACCATTGTTAACACATATCTTTACAATAGTATCAATATCAAGGTATTGGGCAACAGGAGATTTTGATTCATCCAGCTGGAAAGCTTGGTCCGCCTTGTAACGATGCTGAGTGAAACGATCTGATAGTGTATTTGAGTAAGACAGTACCGAGACATGTGAGCTACAAAATGTGATAAAGCGTAATCCAAGTACCAACTTTGGTCCTGCATCCCAAATTGCTGAAATACGATGTACTTTTTCTGTTTCGTCATGCTTTCGCTCACCTTCAAAAGAGTAGATACCCACAGTGTTGATACCTAGTTCGGATCCGGCACGATCGATCCTTGTTGCAATTTCACCCCGATTTGCTGCCATGAGCTTCTGAAATGGAGCCTCCGAAACGTCGACGGCCTTTGTTGGTGCCATCGAAGGGTGGTTTGTTCTCACATTGGTGGATAATTGGCGACTGCATTCTTGCGAACGCAATTCACTTTTTGTATGCGCATTTAAAGGCAAGGTCGTCGATGCTGCCCCACGAATGGCCGTCGTCAAGATCTCACCGCGCCGGTTGGGGAAGGAAGTAGCCGAGCCACTAGCAATTTTGGAGAAGCTCCTGCCGTAACAAGCAGACAGGCGCCTCGCTGGATGTCGAATAATCGAAGGTCGGAACATAGTGTTCACAGGAAGGAAATGGTTTTAAACGAATCCTTGCAAAGTGATGGCAACGAATAATGAGCACGTATTGTTTTGTCCTATCAATCGAAGGCAAGACTTCTACGTTGTATTTCACGGTGCAAACTATGAAGTATATCAAAAACAACAACGTACTTTAATAATGATTCTTTCGGTTCCAATTGCTAGACAGCAGGGAACTGTGCGGTACAATGGGGTACATCACCAGTATTCTCATCGGAGGAAAGATTTTTCATTTTTCCTCTTTCACGAATGGCGCGTCATGGAGTGATGTCAAAAAGGGAAGAAGATACCTCAACTGCAGTAAAACTACAAGAAGTATTCGTTAGGGAAAACAAAGAGGAAGACAGAACTTCTCT